AAAAAAAAAAAGATATGTAAAATGTGGAAAATAAGAATAGGTACTTATGATCACTTTATTTTCATTACTCAACACTCAACTCCATCCCCCTGTAAAAACCATGCTTTCTTCACTTCTTCGCCGCACCTGAATTGTCGGTTTCGCCCTTGCAGTCGAGCTGCTGTAGGCGTTGAATCTCATCGAGGGCCTCCAATCCGGGCCCGGCTTCGTAATTATCCGACTCGGTGTCCGAAACCTCGGAGCCAACGTCTGAGACTAAGAAATCCGAGTCGTGTATTTCGCTCGTGTGCTCCGAGGGCACGGGCTGTCTTTCCTCTTCCTTCATGCGCGCGGCGTATTTCCCATAGTCGAAGGCCTCCGTGCCTTTCCCGCCAAAAGCGGATTCCAATTTGTCCAAGTCGAACAAGGACTCCATCACCTTCATGCTTGGCGGGTGGTCCGAGTACACAAACTTCACTTTCTTGTATGTCTTGTGCTCCAAAAACGGCTTCACGAGCTGCAGTTTAAGTGTTTGGATTGAGTTCGAGACATTTTTTTTTTTTGACAAAAATGTAATTTTAGTCCAGTTCGTTTAACGTCATAGCAATTTTAGTCCCAAGTTTTCAACTTTTCGCTTTTTGGTTATGTGATAATATTTTGCTGCAATTTCATACAGAAACCAGAAAAAAGAAAAGCTAGGAGGAAAATTCCCATTGAAAATGAAGGTAGGATTACTAGTATACAAAACCAGAAATTAATCACGATATGCATATTACCTAATCAAGACCGGAAAAGCAACCGTTATATGTGAAAGAGCATGAAAAATGATTTTACGAAAAAACGTACCAACCAGAAGGACTCGAAGACTTTGGGGGGATTGTAGAGAATCGCGATCCCGAGCCTCTCGGGATAATGGTCCTGCAGCACACGAGCTGTTTCGCGAGTGACCTTCACGGATATGCAAGCCATAGTCCACTGTTGAAAGTCGATTAGCCATACCATCTGCTCTTGACCCTGATCAAGGTTCGCTATTGCATTCTCCATGCAATATACTAAGTATTTTATTTGCCCTTCCACAGAGGTTGTGTTCTGGATTGGATGATACAAGTTATAGAGGAAAAAAAAAAAAGGTGAAATATTTATTTTTAGTTTCACAAATCACAGTCTCTAGAGCGGAGTAGTTCTTCGGTAAATTCGAACCCTTTAAAATTCTGACAGATATTTGGATTTTTTTTTTCTTTTGCTAACTTGGCTAAACTCAGGTATGGTTTACAAAAAAGAAAAGCACGCAGAACAGAAGGATTAATTCAAGTATTTAATCAATACTTGGACAAAAATTATATTCCTTTACAATTATCTGGAAGACAAATATTGTGCTGCTAAATAAATAAGTGTTAGTGGTCTTTCTTGGTACCTGGAATCCAGGTCTCATGACGAGCACGGTCCTTCCTTGCTTGTCAACATAATTGGCTCGGTAAATTTTTCCCGTCTGAGCTTCTTGAGCAACATCATCCTAAACCCACCACCCAAAAAAGAATTTAAAACATAAATTAAACACTAAACCCTATTTGCAAATGAAAAAAAAAAAAAAATTGCATTATTTTGTACAATGGTTGACACTTTAAACAGTCATGAAGTAAATTTGAACACTAAATTTCGGGCACTAACCGAATCTCATATATACTTCATTTGATCATATTTGAAGCTAATTGTTGAAAATGTGAAAAAGGAAAGTACACCAAGTTAGCCTTTTACCCATCGAATCTTTTCCGGCTTGTACTGTATACGCCACTTGATGGCCTCTTTCAACATCTTGGCTGCTCTTTTGGTGTTCCAATTTCTTGCTTTAAGAAACCTTCTTATCGATGCATCGTCACACTGACAAAGAACTTTATCCGCAATGGGACCAATCATCTTCCGAACATCATTTATCTAAAATCCAAGAAAATCAATCAGTAGCACAAAGCAAAAGAAATGGCTAAGTACAGCAATACAAAAGTAAGGACCTTTGCTTGCTCCTCTTCTTGAGACCTTTCTGGACCACTTGCTTGTGGTTTTCTGAACGACATTTTATCTTTCACCCTTCTCGGAATTACGACAAACTAAACAAAATCATCGGGCGAATGCACATTTTTCAGAGTACAACTTCACAAGAAAAAGGAAGCAAAATGGCATACCTACAGATACCTGAAATCATTATCAGTCGGCATTTGCTAATCGAATCCCTCGATTTTAACCATTGAATCAATCTCAAACTGGTAAAAATAGGAAAGAAGCAAAACAAACATATAACTTAACACATCATATGTGTGTGCATTAAAAATAAAAAAAAAAAAAAAAACCCAAGAAAGATTGAACAGATTTATTACTTTTCAAGCGCATATCTCTGAATTTAGATAACCAAAATTGCAAAAGGAACACAGCCCATTTGTCAACAGATTCATAACATCTCAAAAGATTATTAGAACAACTAAGTCAAACCCTATTTTGTTCAACAACATCACCAAACAAAATGAAAACAAAAAAAAAAAGGTCCCATCTTTATTTGATCTGTATCAAAAAAGTTCAGATCTTTCGACATGAAAATTAAATCCCAAATCAGAAATGCGTTTACTGGGCTCGTTCTTGTCACCACCCACCATAAAAGACAATAACAGATCCAATCTGAAGAAATTATTACACAGAAAAATGCGTGCAAGATACAGTTTTCATACAAAGTTGAAATTTTTTTTAAGGGCAGCCTAAATTGGGATGAAAATTACAAGAATTTGAGAGAGAAATGCGTACCAAAATCGTAGAAAGATAAATGAATGAGAGAACCCAACAAATTTTTTGGTTTGATTTCATGAACAGCGGTACGGTTTAGCTGTTTCCTTGGAACAGTCGAAAGCTTGACCGGCGGTTGTGCTGACGCCTGGCACCTGCTCAGCCGTGTTTAGGTAAATTCTATTTGGGCGCCCATAAACGGGTTGTAAAAATTGCTGATACGTCCATATATTTTCTCAGCATTTACTATCAGCCCCATCTCAATATTTAGTGTATAGTTTTGCTAATAGCATGTACACCATCAGCACATTTTATAAATAATTACATATTAATATTATTTGCTAACTAATATTGATAATTGATAATTGATTTTATTTTTTAATTATGATGGTAATAGTTTTGATACTCTTAAATTAAACCGATAAATAAAACCAACATTATATTAATTATATCCTAACGCAGTTTGAAGTCAAAATTATTGACATGTAGAACCGAATTAACATGCCAATAACATTTATTGATCAAATCCATAACAAAGCAAACTATAAAATATAGGGAAATGCTACGAAATTATTCCGTCGGTTTGTAAAGTTAGATCATTATGTAACCGTTAGAGATAATTGATCTAGCGGTATAAATTTTAATGAAATGGTTCTGTAAGGTTCCGTTACAGAACCATTCCGTCGGGATTTATAACCGTTAGATCATCTTGTAAGCGTCAGAGATGATTGATCTAATGGTTACAAACTCTAACGGAATGATTCCGTGGCGGGACCGTAACATCTTCATAAAATATAAATATCCATGAACTTTTATTGGAGTTGACTCTTTTAGGTATTGTAAGATCTGAAAACAATCAAAATTCTTTAATATTTTTCACCACTCATAATTCAATAGATATGTACAAATGTTTGGTATGGTTCTTTATAAAATTATGCCAATTCTTCATTATATTATACTAGTAACGCAGGGCCGTCTCCAGAAATTCGGAGGCCCTAGGCAAGTTTTTTCTTTTCGAATTTTCTCGATTTGAACTTACGTAGTAATTAGGCCTATTCGCAGATAGAATCATAAATTTGAACGAGACTATTAAATAAATAAATAAATAATTGAAAAAAAAAAATTGAACTTGGAATTGATAAATTACCTCCGGGCTACAAAAATCTTTAATAAATTACAATCAACCAATCACGAGGACACTAAAGACAAGAAAATAAAAATCATATCACTACAAAAAATATTTATTTTCACAAAAATATTTATTTTCACACAACTTGTTCTGACCGAACGTCATACAAAAAAAATGAAATATTTAGGGCCTCAATCCCCCACAAACTACATATTTTGCCATTAGCTCCTTCATTTGTGTAATGATTTAAGTCCATATTTAGCCATTAACCCATTCATTTGTGTAAATATCGTGTAAATAGACAAAATCCAACACAAATACATAATATTAAAAAAATAATGAGACTTCATTTATGTAGATAAATAAAACTCAACACAAATACATAATATTAAAAAAAATATGAGGCTCCAAATAAAAGGGAGGCCCTAGGCCCATGCCTAGGTTGCCTCCCCTTGGAGCCGGTCTAGTAGAATAGTAAAGCTTCCACGATGTGAATATATATAAAAAAAATGCTTAAAAGTCCTACACAAAGAATGTAACTAAAACATTGAATCTACATAAAAGAAGAAAAAAATTAAATAAAATAATAAGACACACTATGAAATTATGTATGTAGGGCACTATTTATTATTATGCATCCAACAACAATGATATATTTTACTTGGACCTCATCTCATTTTCAAATCATGTTCACATCATGATGAGTCTATACTAGGGATGCGGGTAAATTGCACCAAACTCCCCTGTGTTATACGAAATGTGCGCGTTATTACCCTGTGTTTTAAAAACTGCACCAGACCCCCTTATATTTAAGTACGTGTTGCACGCTTCCCCCATACCGTCCAATATAACGGCGCGTGAAAGACACTTTCTCCAGATGCAAATATTATTCAATTTTTTTATTTTACAGAATTAATAATTTACATTTATGCCCTCTTGAATGTTGCAAAATCTAAAATGTATAAATGTAGGTACCAAGATTCGAACCTGGGTGGGAGGAAAAGGCACACCCACTCAACCACTGGACTACATGAATGGATGTAAAATTTAACGAACATAAATATATTTATACATCATACGTAAATGAATTAAATATTTTAGAATAAATAAAATAAAATAACAGTATAATAGGCCAATTAGCTATAAATTAAATAATTAATACTAATAATAACTTCTAAAAAATTAAATTAACATAAAATAATAATAAAAAAAATTAAAATAAAGTAAGACAAAATATAATATAATAGCGTGAAATTAAAAATTTAATAAATTTACATTTTAGTTATCAAAATAAATTAAATAAATAAATTTTAAATGAAAATCTAATACAAAAATTGAATTAAAAAATAAATAAAATTCAAATAAACTAATTAAAGTAACATAAATATAATAATTATGAAATAAATAAATTAAAACAATGATAAAGCAAAATAAATAATAAATAAAGTAACCTATTATGAGATAATAAATTAAGTAAATATAAGTATTAAAGTCATATAAGAAAATATAAAATATTATTCATCAAATAATTATATTATGGTTTTCTCTTACATACAATATGAATAAAAAATTTGAAAATAAATTATAATTTTTTAGTAAATATTTCTAATGTAAATAAATAATTTTAATTTCTAAAACATATTTATTAAAAAAATTAATTTTATTATAAAATAATTCGGAAATTAATACGTTAAATACTATTATAATATAATTATAATTTTTTATATTTACTTATAGTTTTAGGTTGATTATATTCTGTTTGTTTAATAATAACTTAATATAAATTAAAATAAATAATAAAATATAAGAATATATAAAAATAATATAAAATAAATACATTAAATATTATTATAATATAATTATATTTTTTTTATTTATTTATAATTTTATTTTAATTATTTTCTGTTTGTTATAATATAATTATAATTTTATAAATACATTATAATTTTCTGTTTATAAATACATTAAATACATTAAATATTATTATAATTTATATAATTTATAGTATCTTCTAAATTTAATTTCATTTATCCATATGTAATGTGATATATATTAAACTTTACTACAACTAGCACTCAACTTTGAGTGGTGTGGTGGTTACACAACTTGCATTGCTTCCAAGAGGTCTTAGGTTCGAATCTCAAAGACAAATTTTTTTTTTATTTAATTTCTCGTGATATATTGAATATATCGCGATAAATTCAATTTATCATAAATATATATATAATATTCATAGGGTATAACGGGGCTTTGGATAAAAAACTAACGCCGTTAATGGGGAAATTTAAAAACGGGAGCGTGTGCAACACTTACATAAACATAAGGGGGTCTGGTGCAGTTTTTAAAACACAGGGTAGTAACGCGCACATTTCGTATAACACAGGGGGGTTTGGTGCAATTTACCCCTAGGGATGCAAACAAGTTGAGTTGAGAATT